AAAGGGGCAGTTCTCGCCCCAAAATCCAAATGGCGGGAGCCAGGCCAGCTCCCCGCGCCGCCAAGGCTTTTAATCCCTGCCCAGCACGGCGCGGCGAGCCCAGCCCCATGTTGTTTTCATTCTTCTCTTTTAAGTCCTCCCCAACCAACCTCAGCAAAATTCACTTTTTTTTTTTAAATTAAAAAAAAAAAATCTTTTTTTTTTTTTTTTTTTTAAATTTCACAGTTCTCTTCTTCAAAAAAACCAAAAAAGGTTTCACCCCTTTCACAGCACAGGAGCCAAGAGAGGTTGGGAAATTCTTCCAGTGCCACAAGTTTGAAAATCCCAACCCAAACCGCCCCAGCCATCCATCCATCACCTTGGGCGAGCGAGGGGAAGGGGGGGGGATAATCGTTTAACCTTTTTTTTTTTTTAAATAAAAAAAACTTAACAGAGGAAGTTTTCTTCTAAATTAATTAATTAATTAAACATCGAGCCCTAAAACTGCCTCTCGCCTCGCTGGGGACGTCTCTGAACCCAAACCACCACCACCAGCTCTTCATTTTACATGCACATGTTTAGGTATAATTTTTTTTTTTTGCCTCCATTATATCGTGTGAATTATTTTTTTTTTCGCCCTCCCCGACAGAAATCCCAAAACGATAATAAAAACAAATTAAAACGCTGCATTACCTTTGCTTTTTAGGGACTGAGTGCTCGATCTCTAGCTGTTTTCCATGAAGCTCCACTTTTCCTAAAAACAAAATGTGTCTGTTTTTGAAAATCTGGGTGGAGTGGGCAGAAAGCTTTGGATAACACGCAGTCACGTGAAAGCTCCCAATTTAATCCAAATTACGACCAACTACGCACAAACACGTTTCCCGATTCCTTTACAAGTGTGTTTTATTAAATGTAAGCCTGGCTTCAAGTGGGAAGCGGTGGGAGGGAGTGGTGAGCCTGGACAATGTTCCTTAGGAATATTTAATTCCTTAGATCGCCCTACTCGGAGCGAAAGAAAACGAGGAATAACATCCTGAGCCCAATTTTTCTCTTTCGTTTAAATCCCCCTTCTTTAAACCCGACGAGAAAGTCCTCGGAGCAGATTTCCTTCCCCACGCCCCCCCCCCCATTAAAAGGCTCAAAAATCGTAACTCCATGGCAGGAATGGATTTCTCCTGGAAAATGGAGTGGGTTTCCTCGCTGCCGGGTTATTCTAACGATTTTTAATCTTTTTTTCGGAGGGGGGGGGAAG